CTGCCCTCCGGTGTGTCCACTTCTCCCCATAGCTTTGTGTCATCTGCAAACTTGGACAGAGTACACTTCACTCCCTCGTCCAAGTCGCTGATGAAGACATTGAAGAGTATCGGTCCCAGGACCGAGCCCTGCGGGACCCCACTTCCCACGCCCTTCCAGGTCGAAACCGACCCATCCACCACGACTCTCTGGGTGTGACCCTCCAGCCAATTTGCCACCCACCGGACTGTGTAGTCATCCAAGTCACAGCCTCTTAACTTGTTCACCAGTATGGGGTGGGATACCGTATTGAAGGCCTTCCTGAAGTCTAGGTATACGACATCAACCCCATCTCCTGCGTCCAGGCGTTTTGTAACCCGGTCATAAAAAGAGACTTGATTGGTCAGGCACGATCTGCCTGCCACGAACCCGTGCTGGTTTCCCCTCAGCATAATTTGTCCTGCCAGGCTCTTGCAAATGTGAGCCTTGATAATTTTTTTGAAGACTTTGCCAAGGATGGAGGTGAGACTGACTGGCCTATAGTTGCTCGGGTCCTCCTTCCTCCCCTTCTTGAAAATGGAGACCACACTGGCTCTTTTCCAGTCCTCCGGGACCTGGTTCGTGCGCCACGAGCGTTCAAATATTCACACCAGTGGCTCTGCAATGATGTCGGCCAGTGCCTTCAGCACGCTCGGATGGAGCTCATCCGGGCCTGCCGACTTAAACATTCAGTCCCTTGAATTCAGGGGATAGCTCCTCTGAATTCAACTTACCCAGAGCTCTTGAGCTGGATCCTCATCTGGGGTAAGCTGGATTCAGAGGAGCTCTGCCACTTTACACCTGAGTCTTAATCCCTATTTTGGCTTTTCCATAAATAGCACATAATGCCAGGGTCAAATATATGCAAGCAGTGAGCTTGGAGTAGGGTTTCACTCAAATAAGGTCTCATTCTCAAGGTTCTTTTCCTTGAAGAAGCTCAGTGATATTTCTTACGTGTCAGTCCTCATCTTCTAGTTCCCCTTCTACCTTATTGGTCTTTGGAGCCAACATCCCACTCTGCCGGTGGCAGCAAGAAACTAAGACAGTGCTGCAGAGGGAGTACCTCACAGCATCTTCTGACTTGGGCTGCATCAGCAGCACAGATGGCTTCAAAAGCTCTGGTCTCTTTGCTGGAAGCCTCAACTTCCATCCAGCAGGATATACTGGAGATGAGATCGGGGCTGGATTAATGTATAGGCAAACTAGGCACATGCCGCGGGCCCTTAGCTGCGAGGGGCTCTGGTCCTTTCCTCTGTGGCGGCGGCGCATATGGCCCCCCCTTCCCTTCCCTTCCCTTCCCTTCCCTTCCCTTCCCTTCCCTTCCCTTCTTAGCAGTGGCACTGAGCCCCATTCCCCATGGGTGGCAGCAGGAGGGTGGGGAGGTGGGTCTCAACCTGCCTGGGGCCCACAAATTTGTTTGCCTAAGGCCTACTAAAGGGTAAATCCAGCCCTGGATGAAGCACATTCTCCTGGTTTCCCTTCACAGCCTCAGCGAGGGATGCTTTTCTTCCCCCTGCCTTGGACAGTGGCTTCCAATCTTTGTGCGTCATGGGCCCCACTTCCAGTTGGATTGTTTCCCACGTTTTTTCCAAGCCTGAACATTATAATTACATGTCCATGGGGCTCACAGCCCCATTCCTCTCCCACTTGGGGTCATGCCCCCTAGTTTGGGAACCACTGCTTTCAGAGATTTGTTGGTGTTGTTTTGAACAAACGATTGCCCAAGACGGGGAAATCAGATGGTGGCATCAGCCAGACACCTCTCTTCCTGCACTTCAAAGAAACCCCGTAGAGAGCGGGCAGGGAACTGTTCTGTATAGCTCAGGAGGCACCAAGGGGCTTCTCTTAGACAGTCGGGCCCTCCTGGAGATACGCTGGCAGCAACTGTTCAATAACATGGAACCAGATGGTTCTGTAATTGTGTGTGTGTGTTATCTTTGGATGGTGGTGAATGCGCTGCATGGGAGGAAAGGCAGGGGATAGAGAGAGAGGAAGGGAGAGACAGAGAGTGAGCTGTTGCTTTTCTACGCATCCCTGGGTCACTGAGATTTCTGCTTTGATACTGCCAATATCGAAATCAGTCCTTTGCTTTGAAATTCTGGGCAGCATGGTGCAATGAATCAAAGAGCAGAACAAAAAGTACTATACAGGGTCAAGTCACAAACTACTTCAAGATCGTTTCAGGCTGGACATAAGGAAGAACTTCTTTACTGTCCGAGCCCCCAAGGTCTGGAACAGCCTGCCACCGGAGGTGGTTCAAGCGCCTTCATTGAACACCTTCAAGATGAAACTGGATGCTTATCTTGCTGGGATCCTATGACCCCAGCTGACTTCCTGCCCTTTGGGCGGGGGGCTGGACTCGATGATCTTCCGAGGTCCCTTCCAGCCCTGATGTCTATGAAATCTATGAAGGCAGTGACATACTGTTTCCAGAGGTGTAAAACCCACAGTATAGGCTGATATGGACATGCCTGTCAGGGAGTTAGGAATGGAAAAAAATTCCTCCTGAACCCCAGTGATTAGCTGGTGACCTAAAGTATGAAGTCTCATTTCCTCATTAACGTATCAGCAGAGATTCTTCTGCTCTCCATACTTCCCTAATCATTCATCCTAATCTCTACTAAATTCATTAAAGGGAACCATTAACATTTCAAGGCACAGAGCTCTATGGTTTCATGCCCATGCCTTGCTAAAGAATACTCTTTTAACCTGTACTGTGTTTTTTATCGCTGGGTTTCCCCTTGTTCTTGGTTGAAGAGAAGCACCTGGCTTACTGCTCAGTAGTCTAGATACCTTTTTGCCACATCCCTCCTGGTTCTCCTCCACAAAGCTTAATCCAGTCACTGTCATCTCATGTGAAATCTCTTATGACATGTCTGTTATCACTACCATTGCCCACCTCCAGGCTTCTTCTCTAAGTCTCCTTTGCTAAAATTAGGCCTATCCCAATGCTTTGAAACATGTTCATCCCAGCAGGCCCCTGCCTGCAGTGGGTGGCTTGGTTCACATTTACTGGGTGTTAGGGGGCCTTAAAGGTCTAAGCTCCCTTTATGCTGCCAAAATGTGATCAAATGGCCTTAGATGTCTGGATTTGGCCATTATTGCAGGAGTTAACAGAACGCTCCTGTTTGTAAGCCGCACACACACTGACTGCATATACTCAAAGTCCAGGCAAGGCTGCCCTCCAAACAGCATGTATAAATGCAACCCCGCAGTGTGGTGCAGAGCTACGTATGAATCCAGCCTGGCAAAGACCATCGACCCTATTAGCAGCAGAAGTTGCTTCTTACCTTTGAAAAAGAAAGCCTCGCCTCTGATCTGAGCCACCGCATCGAAGTGCGTGTTACATCTGTTGGGCACGTCTCTTCTGAGGCTGTGGAAAGACAGAGCTCACATGAACTGCAGTCCTACCCTTGCAGCAAGAAGAAAATCCCCCTCCACCTCTCCTTGACTGGGCACCTCTTCCCAGAGCCAGGAGCACAGGCAATTCATTCGGTCTCCCTCATTTTGTCTCCCACCCGCTGCTCTGTCTCTTTTGATCAGGGTCGAAAACAACTCCCCCATGAGCTGGTTGAAAAGAATCTGCAGCCCCGGGCTATAGAGACTGAGGAATCTGATGAGGTGCTGCTCTATCTTGACTCCTCTGTGAAATCCTATGAAATATGAACTTTCATTTCTACCCAGGAGGACTTTTACAATCTTTTCCCCAATGCCTGATGAAGGGTGTTTGTGCCAGAAAGCTTGCAATTAAAGACTTTTTTTTGCAAAACTGTCATTGGTCTAATAAAAGATATCATCTCTACTACAAGTCCTGATTGCCTGCTCTATACAGTAATTCGACAGGCGGTTACAAGCTCCATGGGTTTGTTGTACTGCAGTCCCCCATCAGCCCTGTTCTGAATCCACCCATGGGCTCAGGGTCAGGATAGGTTTTGGGCACAAGCCACATGAAACCATTTTGGAGGACAAGAGAGACTGGGAGCCAGGTTCTTGCTGTAGCAGTGCATCTGTAAGTCCAGAGTAACTCCCGTAGAGGCAATGCCATCTCTCCAGCTTCACAGCAGTACAAGTGAGAGCGCCGTTTGACCCGCTGCACTGAAACAGCAGGACGCCTACTGACTCCAAATGCCCACATGCTGACAACAGCCTGACTCCAGCTCACCGGACATCAGTGCTTACAGCCAGAGCTCAGAGAAGTTAGCAGAACAAAGCAGCAGGAGCTGGAGCTGCGGGGGAGTCAGGGGTGTGCGCCGAAAGGGCAGGGAGTGATTAGCTTGGCAGGGGCACCCAGCTGCTGTCACGGGTGGGAGGGAGAGGAGGGGGATGGCTAAGAAAGCCCTGGTAGAAATAATGATTGATGGAGAAGTAAAGGATAGCTGGAGCATGCACACACAAGCTGCTCTGAGTGAAGGGCAAGCCTGAATCTAATTTGCTAATAGAGGGTCTGTGTGGTAGCTTGCCAGCAACCTCCTCCCAGACATCTCCATACCTTATACGCCAGCTGCGTGTTTGGCTCGGAAGCTCACTCTCCTACTGATTCCCAGGGCTGAGGGATGGAGAGATGATGTGTTAATGGACATGGCTTTCCATGCCGGCAGTGTGTGTTGTGGGGTGCTGAAGGATCAGCAGGAGAATATATGCTCTTCTCTCCAGGCTCCTATGCTGCACATGTCCCTATCTGAATGCTCAAATAAGCCCCGGGCATATGATGCAGCATGAAGGGCCAGCTCCTTGCTTAGACTCATCCCAGCAACAAACACAACAGTGCCGCTAAGGATGTAACACTGCGTGCCTTCTGACAACATCATTACCTAAGCAACATCAAAGCACCAGAGAGGTTGAGATTAGTACCCTTATCCTTCTGCTCCTAAACCACTTGGCATGAAGGAGCACCCTCCTGACTGGCAGCAGTAGTAGGCCCCAACCACTTGGTGGCATTAGGCTTTCGCATATGGCCAGTGCGTTGCCAGAGATTTGCTGCCTTGCGGTGAGAACGGCCAGACCATTGTCAAGGGAGCTAGCTTGACAGCAGGTGTCTAACTAAGCATGACTAATATGGTACGTAAACCACAAACATAGGTAGGAGGATGAAAACTCTCTGCATTCAACTTAATGTGCTTTCAAACTTTTCACCCTCTCTTGGGGGAGCTGGAAGAGCATGTTAGCAAGAGCCCATCTCAAGCTTCTTTGAAATCATCCTATTTCAGGGCACATCCTAAATCAAATGTTTTCCCAATATCCCCTCCGCTTGACAGTTCTACTTATCATGTCCAGTATTTAAGACATGTGCTCCTTCTCAGAAGGAAAAAAAAAAATGCTCGTGTCGTTTCAGTGAGCTCTTTTATCTCCGAGACACACCACCATTATAGAAACAGAATTCCAGCTAGCTGAGAAACATCTTGTAGGAGAAATCCAGCAAAGTCCACGGAGATTCACCAAGAAAGAATATGACTGGGTAAAGACACAGGAAGAGGACTTCTTTACTTTTCCTGTAGCAGCTATTGTTGGCGACACACACAATACAGGTAGCTAAGAGTTTCAGGAGTGACTAGCCATTTTGGGGTGACAAGCTTGAGATGCCTTAAAGGAGCCCCTTTGTCAGATAGGAGATGCTCAGCACTTTACAAAAATTAGACCCCTTTTTGGTCCCTCATCATGCACACAAAATTAGTGGTCCCTTTGAAAAATCTGGCCAAAATCTCCATGAGGATGTAACACAAAGGCTGACTCCACCTCCATCTGTGCTACACATACCACCACTTAATAAGAAACGATAAAAAAGAGTTGCTAAGTGTTAATCATTTATAGGTACAAGTGTATCTATAGAAAAAAATATGTGTACACACACACAAACTTTTAGCAAGACTTTTAGGAAATTAAATATAATAAATAACAAGACTGGATCTACAATGTCCTCTTTTGAGGATGTTAAGGTATGGATCCAAAACCAGAAGATATTTTGGACTTTCTTCCTAAAGGAAAAGAACATCATGCACATGCACACACGCATATGTGTAGGTGGGAACTGGATGCTAAATAAAACAATAACCCAAGCACGGAGGAGGAGTGATCATCCCCTTATTCCTTATTATCTATAACATTCCTCACCACCCCCTGAGCTCCTTATTTATGTTCTAGTCCTGACTTTACACCTCATTAAAGCTACTCCCTACACTGGGTTTTATCTTTGGGCTGCTGTAGCTTTTAACTCTTTCATGCCCAAATGACCCAGAGCTTCACAATAACCAAGTGTGCAAACATGGTGCCTGTGTGCAGAATGAGCTTGCCTCGGTGGCTCTTAGATGGGCAGAATGAATGGCATGTGGTGGGGAAAGCTCTACTCAGGACCCCTTAAAGGATCTTTTCAAAAGCCTCAGAGATTCATGTCTCTATCCTGGGTAAGCAAATACTGAATGCCTCAGGGTGGAGGATATAAAAACCATTGGACAGTTGAACCAAGTGGGATAAGCAAGGGAAATAGATGGAAAAGTGGCAACCCTACTTCTGCCCCACTGTTCTCCATATGTTAGGTACTGATATTAGCTCCATTACCAGAGAAACAAGCATGGGATAATCCTTCTTGAATGCAGTTATCCTCACAATCTCCTTAGTAGTAGGTTATAGGAACAGTTATCCCCATTTTACAGACAGAGAACTGAGAGACTGAGTTGCCCACAGTTACTCACACGGTCTGCGGCAGAGTGGCGGACTGAATCCCAGGCTAGCACATGCCAAGACCCAAGCGTTTACATGCCTTGAGTGTGCTGAGGCAGAGAATATGGTTGTAAAGCAGTTGCTGCTAGAGCCCTGGAAGAGCTCAGAGGGAATCCCAATCCCTGTAAAAGTATGACCTTCTTGCCTCTAGAGGAAAGCAGCCAGACCAAAGGGGATGAAATCCTTGGCTAGTGTAGCCTCGAAAACAGGAAGCCTGACCTACTTCCGAATGTGCCACTGACCTTAGGCAAATCCCTTCACCTTTCATGCTCATCCATCCTGTTCAGACTGCAACTTCATCAGACAGACAGCTTGCTAGTATGTGCTTGCACAGTTCCCAGCATAGTGCTATAGTGGTGCAAAGTAACAACAGCTCCACTGAAAGCCTCCCTTCTAGGCCTCCACACACTCAGAGAGCCCTTCTGCTCCTGTAGGCTCCTGGCCAGAAGTTGTTCAGGTATCCCTAAAGCTTGCTAATGCATTCGAGACCGCTAGATCCAGAAGCCAAGGTCTGCTTAATCTGAGAGCCCTAAACAAGGGAAGGGGACCTGTCTGCTTGATAACACATTTGGTCGTAGCAAACATCTCCTGAAAAGAAGCTGTCCTGGAGCCAGGCCACTCCCTGCTCATCCCTGATCCACCCCTGGAAGTACCTTAGCCAGTTGCTCATATGGACAGGATACCCTAAGGTGTGTGTGCCCAAGCCATGAGACTGCAGAAGAAGCCTGATTAAAATTTCATCTAGGATGAGTTAGCCTACAGGGTGATGGGGACAAATTTCCCACAGTGCTGAGCAAATCTTCAATGATGCTGGGATATTAGGGAAAAGCAGCGAGTTCCAAGATGATTCTGGACTTCTTGGTGCTCCTTGAAGGACTGATAATAGCCAGGGGCTGCAGGAAGATGGGGGTCTGTCATTACTGCTGTCAAGCATTTTAAGGGATACTTTTCTTCCAGATACAGATGTGAGAGATGCAACACTGAGGTTTGCATTTTAAACCAGAGATTTAAGATACATCTTAACTACAGGCAACAAAGGCCAGAAGCATGCATTTGGAAGGGCTGGATGACGAGGACTCCTGCAGCTGAGGGCCACACTGCTGAGACAAACCTAGATCAAGGAGTAAGCAGGGCTGACACCGAGGCCTTGGGAGTCTGTAGCATGAAGTTCAGGCTGCCTCCCCCTTTCTCTATTTTCCAGTTTCACTCCTTCTCTTTTGCCACCTTTCTGTTCTTAGAAGTGGCCTAGCATGGTGATGCAGCTGCCAGGAGCAGAGGAAAGGGGATGTCCAACAGCAAGGGCATAGGGTGAAGACATTAATGACCACTGAAGGATTCTCCCAGGGTCACTTCTCTTTGCTGCTATCTGCCTGGTTTAATGCCTTCTAGACATGAGCCCTTAGCTGGAACTGGCTGTCTGTGGGCACTGCTGTATCCTGCCCATTACACATTCAACAAGAAAGGAGTTTATTAAACTCGAGGTCTAGTCATGCCCTTCCTGTGGAAAGACTGTGTTGGGAACTCAGGTGGAGTGTCTTTCTCTTCTCAGGGTGGTGCCTCTAGGTGAAGGTGTGGCAATATGATGCCATGATGTCCCATGGGACCAGCTGCTCCCAGCGCATCCCATCTCCTCTCTCTAGCAGGACTATGACTACCTTTACCGGGCTGCGGGAGCAGGGGAGGGACCAGGAATTAAAAGGTGCGGATTCCACAGCCACGTTAGGCAGGTCACTAACATTTAGGGGATACATTTTCCTCTTTTGCCTCAACCCCCACAGCAGCTGCACCTATGATATTAGTACTCCCTCAAGAGCCAAGCCACCACTTGGCTCCAGATACCATAGAGCCTTGTCTGAGCAGATAGGAAGTATACCGTGGGTAGTCAACGCAGGGGAATTACCACTCCACAGCCTCGTGAGTCCTTGCAGGGGCAACCCACGTGTCTAGAGACAGTTCTCATGGTTCCACCTCTCTCCTAATCCTGTGATGGGAACTAGTCATGGCTTTGTGGGGAAGAGAAGAAATAGCGTGTCTTGGGTCACCCCCTGCCCACTTCCCCTGGCTTTAACTTCCCCTTGAGTTACCCCCTGCCCACTTTCACTGGCTTTAGCTAGCAAGAGGAAACTATGCAGCCCAGAGGCACTGGACTAGACACTCATGCTTTAGTACTGGCATCCTTCATGGAAACATCACTGACAATGCTATATGAAGGAACTCAGCTTACGGGATACTGGAGCGGTTCTCTGGCAGCTCTGGCAGAATGGGGTGGTCATCGGCTCTGGTGACCTCTGGCTTGGCTGTCGGGGACACAGACTCCCTGACTCCTGGCAGGAAGACAAGGAAGTGTTAGAGGGAGTGCCTTTCTCACCAGGGGTATTGCACGCTCTAGAGAACAGCTGTCTCTATGAGGCACTGGGGATGGAAGTGAGACATAAACGCCAAAGGTGGGCATGGGGATGAGAATGGGACACACTAACCATACAGCTGCCAGATTCGGACTTTGTCTTCATAAGGCAGGTCATACTTCAGGGGATCTCCCACTGGGCCTTGGTAGTATGGTCTCATGATAGACTCGATGGCAGAGACATGGGTCAACCCAATGGCATGGCCAAACTCATGGACTGCCACAGCAAACAGGTCCATCCCATGAGCATCTGAAAACAAAATCATCATCAGCACCATCAAAATAAGGGACGCTGCACACTAATCATGGGCCTGTGGACTGAGGAGCATGCGTCTATGTGCTTATGGGCTTTGCATCGACATCAGTGGGAAGGAGTGCAATCTAATCTTTGGAACAGGACACCAGAGACACATTTATGTGGCACTGCACTGACCTCTGTGCTCTTGCTCTGACCAGGTAAAGCACCCCACACGGAGGTCTTTGCTGCCATGACCAGACGCTTCTGGTTCCTAGATAGCTTTTTTAAAAGTAGTCTACGTCTCTCTACGTGACTCTATGTAGACCAGGGGCGGGCAATTATTTTGGGCAGAGAGCCGCTTACTGAGTTTTGGCAAGCCATTGAGGGCTGCAGAGAGCCGCTTACTGAGTTTTGACAAGCCATCGAGGGCTGCATGACAGGCAGCCCAGGGCAGATAAATATTAATTTTCTAAATTTTTTAGGGCCCCATGGGCTGGATAGAATGGCCTGGCGGGCCGTATGTGACCCGCGGGCCGCATTTTGCCCACCCCTGATGTAGACATACCCTAGGAGTCTTCTAGACACTGCTTGGCCCTCATGCACTCCTCTTCAGCCTCCTCAGGGCCCTTCCCATAAGCACTTCCAGAAAGATTCCCCTTTGTAGTATCTAGTATATTGAGTATATATAACACCCCCAGTTCCTACTCTTTCCTAAGGTTGCATCCTGATAAAGGCAGCCTTCCCTGGCCCACCACACACATACAGACACACATGCACAGACACACACTTTCCACATTGTTTGCCCTTACAGTTGGGCCTTATCTTGCTCAGGAGATGACACCTTGCTTAACACCAGTCTCCCATTTTGGTTACTGACCCTTTAAATTCCACACCATGAAACAGGACGGGCTGACCTCAAGCACCACTAATCCTTAAAGAGCAGACTGCCACGGTACAGGACATTTTAACAATTTCAGACCCTTTGTCTTCAATGTTTTGTCAAGTCGAGAGAGTGGCTGAGACTCGCGCTTCCCTGCAAAAAGTTTCAGTTTTGACAAATCAGCATTTTCTGACAAAAGACATTTTATTTGAAACTTTCTGAGCCATTCTAAGATGAAGCCCTATAAAAGAGTCCTACTGCACTCCACCACGGCTGCCCCAAACACTGCGGCATCAGCACTGCCATCTCTGCTGTTATGGGCCATTGCTGTAATACCTGGTAGCATGTAAGAGGAATGGGGCAAACAAATCAGACTGCAAGACAGCTAGTCAGGCATTCCCAGGAACCCATGGGTGTAGAAGTTGGGTCACGTATGGCCCGACTGCTGTGCAGCTGTGAAGCATCACTGTGCTGCACAACAATCAGCCGGAGGCTCTCCGTGGTTTCTGTGCAAGGACTGGGCAAAGCCTTAGGTTGGCCTTTTCTGTCAAGGGGCTTTGGGGAGTGGGGCAGCAGGTGGGGATATCTAGCTAGGAACACAGCCAGGTCTGGCAGAGAGTGCACCGATGTCTCACACTGCTCGCTTGCTAACTGCAGGAACTAAGTATGGCCATGCCGGCTGAACTCTAGAGGAAAAGAGCGTGTCTGTGATGTGCATGGTTCACAAAACTGAGCTTCTGAGCTCAAACTGGCTCCCACTGAGCTGCCCACTTCTCTTGTAGCCTAAGAAGGAGGTGGGGCAAAACTGTGTTCCCAAGCTAGTCTCCATAACATTTGTCTCCCTAGGGAAGTACTTATGAGGACGATCCTCCTTCCTTTCTTCAACCATTCTGCTCCTCTCACCATAGCTTCTGCAACATCTGAGAAGATCCAGGTAACACTAAATTGATTCCTCATTCATCATACAGGTAACACTGCATTGGTCATTCTTCTTTCTCACTCTTCTCACAAACCACAGCAGCCCTACCCCGCTTTCTGCTTGCAAATCTCCTCCTTTGCAGCCTGAACTCTGGTGCCTCCTATCAAGTCTACCACAGGAGTCTCCTTTGAATGGCTGGTCCTGTCCAGAGCAACACCGCTATGATTCAGTTAGCGGGCAGAGGTTCTGCTCTGGGATGCTGGTCCCTGTTGGGATCCTTAGTGGGCCTTGCTCTGATTTTAAATCATGACAGATGCATGGTTCGCTCTCACTGAGCACTGCAATAAAGTAGAAGCACTACCCAAGCATGGCTCTGGGAACATCCTTCTGAGCCTTATTGAAGAACAAGGGAGAGCTCCCACTAAAAGTAGTGACTGATTTGCACTATTTCGCTCCCCCACCCCCCGCAGCTCTCCAGAGAATCTGTTTTTTGTTCTGGGTTTCTTTGCTGAATTTCCCTTTTCTTTGATGACTACTATTTACAACGTCTGTAAACAGCCTGGATTTTTATAACCTGGGCTGTTTTTACCAGCGGACAGAGAGAATAAGACATGTGCTTTTGGAAGTTTTTATGCCATTCTGACAACCTTGAGGATATTTTTATGTCCCCTACCAAGGTGTTACTTTTTTAAATCATTGGGGAAAGTGAAATAAATAAAAGAAGTTTAGACAGTCTGGGCCATTAAAAAGAACCACTGAAAATCTCATCCCCTTGTCTCTCAGCACCTTCTGGATGATATAACCCTCCAGAGACTGTTTCCTCCTGCCCTGGTCTCTGCATTCACTCCCTGAAGATAGGCATGCGGAGCTGCGTCTGCCTCTGTCAGTTAATCTTATCTAATACCACCTGGTCTTATGAATGCATGCTCTTCCCTTTTCCTAGGGTCCAGGAGTCAGGTTGCTAAGGTAAGCCAGCACACAGAGACCAGGTCCTAGTGCCAGAGAAGTAGGGAGCTAACTAGCTTGGTTTTTTTAGGGGGGTGGGGGCACTAGCTGAAGTTCAAACATTCAAGAGTTGCCAGTAGGTGCCCAATGTGAGCCACTTAGGGGCTTATCATTAGGAGCATTTAGCCCTCCCAACTCTCACTGAAGTTGAAGAGTGGTGGTGTCAGCACCCTTTGAAAATTAGACCTGCCTACTTCCAGTTGGACACCTAAAAGGGGAAGCACCCAGAATTAGAGGTCACCTTTGACAAGCTTGTTCTAAACCCATCAGGGATGTTCCTAGTCCATCAGTGCAAGCAGGACAAGCCCCGGTTAGCATCTACCAGGGGTTCCCTTCAACCGGTTTCCAATCCAATACTGAACTGCTCAGCAAAAGCGGTGGCAGCTCAGTAGAAGCAGCAAAGCAGTAGACAGAGCAAGAACCCCACTGAACTCTGCACAGTCACAAGGACCAGGAAGTTTTCCAGGACGACCTAAGACGCCTGGTGAATCATTAGCAGAACAGGAGGATGTACATGCTTCCATGGCCCCCTGGATGACCCATGTCTGAGTCTGTTGGGAGCAAGAGGAAGAACCAGATGAACAGGACAGTGTTTTGATGAAAGTACTTAATGGGTAAAATAACAAAAGGCAGAGGTTTTCTGTCGTGAGGAAGGGAAGGAAAAGGCATCTGTCTGTCAGATTTGGTTTTGAAGGTGCCAGGTTGTCCACAGTAACATTAGCAGCCTGCTGTGTGGCGTGTAAAGGGAATACACTTCCCTTTAACCTTGTTTGAACCCTGGGGGATATTCTGCTAGCCAACTGGTGGAGGGGACAGAGGGGAGCAGAAAAATCCAATTAACCAGAGAAAAGAAAAAAAGAGAGATGATATTAGTCAAGCTCAAGGAGGAAGATTAGGTCTAAATGAAATCATTAAGCCCAGGCAGCAGAAGCCCACTGGGACACTGGCACAGGAGGTGGTGTGACAAGTAAATTAGCAGCTGGTGACTGGAGCAGCAACACTGTCAAACTCCAGCCAACATGACGCGTGGGAGATCTGATCACCTACAGATGGCCTGCACAGCTGAGGTGCACTCATGCTTAGAAGACTCTTCACTTATTAAAGCTGTGCCGTTGGCTGGAAAAAGATTAAAGGGAGATTTTTTTTTAAGTGAAACTTCTTCTTGCCTTAAAGGAGAGTCTTAATTGGGTGGAGGTAGTGTTAGTAACAACAACAGTAATACCACTGAGCTTTTAGAGAACACGTTTCATCACACCCCTTTCTAAAGCAATCAGGAATAACCCCATTTCACAGATGGGGGACCTGAGGTACAAGGCAATGAAGCAGGTGAGTGCCAGAGTGTAGGAAGAGAACCAAGGATGTTCTGAGTCTTAACCCAGTGCTCTACCCACCTTGGGGGGGGGGTGGCGGAGAGGGGAGAGGCCAGCCCTTGTTTCCAAGTCACTGGTATTGCCCTGTTCTCTTTCCCCGGGAGCTGAAAAGTTGGTTATTTGTCACGGGAAAATAGCAGCCTTCAGCTTGGCCTGTCTTGTCAGCAGTCCCTCCATTCCCCAAGCAAGCAGGGATCTCTGGGGGTGGAAGAAGCTGCATGGTCATTCTGCAGCTGGGGGGGGGGGGCACTAGGGCAATGCCAGACCCCCTGTGCCAATGAATAAGCAAAAGGCTGGTTCTCTATTACTTCATCTCCTGTGGTCTCAGTGACACCTACGGAAAAAGAGTGGATATGCAACCACGCTGACCCTGGAGCCTTTTATGCACAAGTCAACCTTGACTACACACGAACCCACAGACAACAAGTAGG